CTGCACACTTTAGAGTTTGCCGTCGGTGTCGATGCTGTTCCATTGTCGCTAGAAGAGAAAAAAAGTTAATTGTATTATTCGTCAGCAGCTTAAACAAAGCGCGAACTGGAAGGTAAGAAACACCACTAACCTGTATGGACGCACAAGTCGTACCCAGGTCGCGCAGTACTCCGCCTCGTACGGCTTCGAAGGGACGATGTAGTAAGTACTTCGTGCCGTGCGCGATCTTGCCGACCACGCAGCAATTGTTGCGGCTTTCTTGGTGCGGAATAGCCATCTCAGAAATTACAGCGCTAACCAACTACAACGCACAACCAACGCAGCGACTGGCAGAAGATGCCCGATGCAACGGACCCGTTTGCCGCTAGGGGCGCCCTGGTCGGGGCTTGAATTAGATCCGCACGGTTCCTATACGAAGTAAGCACAGGTCTCAAAAGACTTAAGTTTGAAGGTTGGTAACCAGGCTCGATGTAAACAGTAAATACAAGCAGATGTTAATCATTGTTACGAGTGACCATCACTGACTTGCTATGCCTAATTGACTTGTTCCGATTCTGTTTGCGATTTTCAGTACCGACGTCGACTATCTCAGCTACGGTTCATGCTTTTGCAGCCCGAGCGGCGTCGCGACTGAAAATTGCGAGTGAAATCTCATCATGCGAATCAGGTTTTAGCGTACATACTGCGGCGTCCAAGCGGAATGAATCGCCACATGTCACATTATTCACGCGAAGTTTCGCGGTGTAACGAGCCTCGGTAATTTCGCTGACGCCGCTCAAGTAGTCAGACATCGCCAGGAAGACGTAGAATCAACAATTCGAACGCGAAAAAAAGCAGGGGGACTCGCACCGACGCCGACAACATCGCATTTCAATGGTTTGTTTATGGGCGACGGCGGGCTTCTTGCCCACCCCCATCGCCCATGCGTGGCGCCGGTGGCGTCCGCTAGGGGCGCTCCGGTTTGTTTGTAAACATGAGTTGGTGTATAATATTCATTATGCCTGTCAGCGCAGCTGCTCTTGCGCGAAACTTACGCCAATTTTCCACAAAGCGCTGAATCATGCCCCCCAGCACCCTCAGCGGCCACTAAAAATAAAACGAGGTGACAAGTGACCATTGGCGCGCGAAATTCAGATAGCTGAGACACTCATTTAGAACACGCGTAACCTCCTACACCACAATGCCCGATCGTCGTGCCTATCGGTGTCCCGGCAATCCGCAGTTCACATCGAGAGGCCCTAGCTATTATTGCCCAGAAGCGACAAGCAGTTCGCACGTGAGTGACGGATTGATAAATGCGCTTGTCCTGCTCTTGCGCACTACCCACAGTGCCAGTCGCACCGCATCATTCGACCTTCCAGAAAGTGTAGCGAAAATTTTGGCTATGCTGCCTGTAGTGGGCGCTACTATACTCCGTTTCACCTTATGTTGTACCGCAGCGAAGGCTAGAAGCTCGAGCTCATAGGGTTGGCAGCTGCCCTTAATGCACGAGAGCTTGTGCTGCCGAGATCTGTCCCAGAGCAAGGAGCTCGCGCTTGTAGCTTTTTCTGCGGTACATCATAAAATGAAACAAAGTATAAGGTGATGGTGTTTTTCTTATTGCTCGCCAGAGGACACCATCATTTATAGAGCACTTATATAAGGAGCGGCGCGTGGAAATAAAAGGGACTTTTTTGGTTGTGATCACGAGCTGGGCTGCTGTACTATCATACTCTAAGAAGAATGCAGGTTCTCGAGCTATTTGCAACGACACGCAGGAGACTACGTAAAGCGTGTTGTAAACAAACACTATGCATGCCTCTCCTGCTCATGAAACATGGCGAAACCGAAGACTAATAGCCTGGATTGCGGAGGACTTCTCTACCTTTCAGACGAACTAAATCATCTGCTCAAGATTCTCAAAGGCGTTTTTGCGGCAGATGTGTTATCATTCAACGTGAGAAACGCGCGGCCCCTTGAGACACTTCTCAGGATAGCAGAAGGAGCAGTCTGTGACTCTCCTCTGCTAGTCTGCCCAACCAACAACGAGGCTTATCGCCGTGAACTTGTTCGTCTCATTTGCACAAAGTTCTTCAGGTGACTTCTAATACACTATGCTTCCGGTAAAACAGAAAAAAAGGAAGCATACAGGAAGTTTGTGTGAAAGCCACTTTCTCGTAAGTTTCCAAAGTTGAGCTAGAGACCTTCCACGGTGTGATATCTGATGAGCGGACGCAATCAATGCAGGCTTCGTTTTGTCATACGCGTTCGCAGCTAGGATAATTGCGTCGCAGACATTCTTCCTTTCCCTCCGTGGTATATAACAACTAGACGACAGGCACTGGCGAGAGGTCAACATCTTGTCCGTTTCCTCCACGAACGCCATTCAGCGCAGTGGCCCGATTGCGTTTTAACTACATGGGTTTGATGTCTGGTTTAATGCGTGTTCCACAAACGTGCCGTCAACTGCTTTCTCAATATTTTCTCAAAATAAACAGTTTTCATTAACAAGTCACCTGATTCAAAAGTTAACATGACACGTCTAGGTTGACATTATTTTTCACTCGCGTTTTAATTCGTCTAAAACCCATTTGCTGCCCGACGCTTCCTTCCAGGATTGATTTGTACAGAGCGACAATCTCGCATGCCTCGCAAAGCAGCAACAGAGCGCGAAGATTAACGCGAGTGACTGTCAAGGGCTACTCGCTTCGCCGGCACGATAGCCCATTCCCTGGTGTGCACGCCCCCTGCAAAGCAAAAGGTTGTCTTCACTGCAGACACTGGCGCTGCCAAGCGCCACCAGCCTGGGCCCTGGAGCCACGCGCTCTTTTTGACGGCTGCCCTTTTATGCGTGCGCTCTGCATCGACATGCGTCGTGCAACTTATATAGGAGGCTTTGATCGTACTAATGGCGGCCTTCTGGGTACTGACGATGGAAGACGTTGAAGGCGCTCCGAAGCAGATGATGTGAGGTGTACACATTACAGATTTAGCGACGCAGGAATTGAATACAAGAGCCGCGTAAGCGTTAATTTCTAACTCGGGTCCAGTGGATCTGTTGGCGGCATATGATCGTCTTTACAGCCCCTTGATGTTTAAAGTTTGGTCATGGCTTCAATGTGGGTCGGTGCTTCGTCCTTACCAGTTGTCAAAAACGCCCCCCTCCCGAAAGGAGAAAAAAATTACAGGGTTTTAGCTTTTTGTCGCAAAAATAAACTACGCATCAGGGAGCGCTCATTCTCCGCCCAAATGAAGCCCTAGCGAGTCGAACCAGATGCCAAAGTTCCAGGACTAACCAACATCTGATTAAAAAAATTGTAACCGATCTTCTAAAATTTTTTTTGTCAAAATGGCGGCCGATGGATCTCTTATAATACATGAAACTGAAAGGCGCCGGTTACCGAAAACGGGCGAAATGGGCCCCTTTTTGCGATTGCTATTTTCAGAAAATTACCTGTAACTTTTGATTGAGATAACGGTTACCTCTGAAACTTTTGACATCTAGTTTGAACCGCTAGGACTACAATTTGTGAAAGTTTCTGTTTTTTTTTGTTTGTTTTTACACGCTGTATATTTGTTACCATTGAAAGTGCGAGATTTAGAAGTAATTGTAAGGTAATAACACGCACTCTCGATACCTGTTGACTTGCGAAAGTGTTGGTGCCCGGCCAAATACTACAGACTGCAGGTCAATTACTGTCATTAGTACGGAAAAGGGTAAACTGCTATTTGAGCCACGATATGGTACTGATTTTCGGAAAGGGCAGCCCTACACGCTCGCTTGAAAATTAATGCCGTGTGCCAAGAAACGACATGAGAAATACATCGACAGGGATTGTATTTTCGCAAATGATCTAGTAGGCAAAAAGAAATTAACTAAATTATAAAAACAAGCCGAAGAAGACGTGACGGAAGGAAAAAAAGTAACTCAACGTTAGAGGGACTGTAGTCAAATACAAGTGAAGAATGCGTGACGCACACTCTGCCAGGTAACTGCCACGGCATCGAATCGTACTGCGCATAGCGTCGCTTATTCAGTGGAGCTCCGCTATCTAACCAGAAAGGTTATCGCTATCTAACCAGAACGCAGCGGACACAAAGGCTGCCTTTGTCTCCCCTGAATTTGTCGAACGCATTCAAATTCGAAAGTCAAACGCCGGACGCAGGCGTTTCGCGTTCTAACGCGGCGACGACTCCTGTGGAGACAAAGGCTGAAAGCTTCAGGTCTACCCACTAATCGTTCTAACAAGCTCAGCGTTCTGACGTCCTCGCGTGCCCTATGTCTCCTCCTTTCCCTCACTTTCCCGACGCATAGCTTCCACTGAGGCATGCCGGGGCGTTGGGACAAACCAACCAGCGCTGATCATGATCCACGAGATGGCCGGTGAGCAAGCTTTTCTCATCGGGAATATCGAAGGCCATGCTCGCATAGTTACTGGGTCGGGTGAAAACAGCTCTTGTGAGCTCGGCCGTATACCGTCAGAAGGTTACGCGCTAGAAGCAAAGAGAACATAAAAGAAGAGTGTCCACATTACAGTGTCCACACTGACAGCGAGTACGGGCGTTCTCTTCCTTGTAAGGTGCACGCACGCTGGAGGCTGATCTCATCTTTCCTTTTCTTTGCGAAGGCCTTAAAACGAAGGGAACAGTCAGGATCTTCTCAGAACTGTACGTGCCAAAGTCTGCGAACGCAATCTCAGGTGTTGTCACGCCTCCTGAATCAGCGACACCGCCAGACGCGACACCGAGGACCGAAGGGAAAAGTGCAGAATGCTTCAAAGAGAGAAGATACCTTGATCATAGGGCGGTGAGACCACTACGCGTGCCTAGATTTATTGTAGATCTGGGAGCACGCCTGACCACGTAAAGGACAATCACGGAGGCATCAATACCCCAGGCTCGACAAGACTACTTTTTCGGGAGCTTTTTTTCTGCCGCGGCTTAACCACAACGAACAGGTTTGGGACAAAGTGCCGCATTTTGGAAGCAAGGGTGCGCTTTAAAAAAGCGAGAAGCTGACAATGGACCTGTTCCACGAAGCCGTGGGCATAGCAGTAAGGAATGCGGATCCGCGAGTCAAGAAATGGACCTTGATGGGCAGCCCTGTGCCGGTTGGTACACTGATCGTCCTCTACGTCTGCTTCTCGAAAATTTGGGGTCCCAACCTGATGCGTTTAAGAAAACCGTTCGCCATCCTTCCTCTCATCCGAGCCCACAACGCCTGCATGGTCGTCTTCAACGTCATCTTCATCGTGACCTTCTCGAAGCTGTCCTACTCCGGCGGTGGCTACAACTACTTCTGCCAAGGACCCGACTACACGTCACGAGGTCTACCCGTCCTCAAAATGGCCTGGTGGTACCTGTTGGTCAAGATACTTGACCTGACGGACACCCTGGCGTTCGTCCTCACCAAGAAATTTGATCACGTGTCAACCTTGCACGTGTTTCACCACTCCGCAGTGGTGGGGACCATGTGGGTCACCGTCAACTACGGGGTGCTCGGACAGAACGTCTTCGTCATCATTCTCAACTCGTACGTTCACGTGGTCATGTACTCTTACTACTTCCTCACCACGCTGGGACCTATGGTCCGGCCGCATCTTTGGTGGAAGAAGTACCTGACCCAGCTCCAGATGGCGCAACTGGCCGCCTTTGTGTTGCACGGCAGCATCCCGCTGTTTGTGGACTGCGGATTTCCTCTGTGGATGGCGCTTTTGACGGTTACGGAACCCGTCGTGCTGCTCGTGATGTTTTACAAATTCTATCTCAAGTCGTACCGGCAGAAAAGCCACATAGCCACGGGAAAAATTGCGAAAGACGAGGCTCACTTTGTTTGCTCGTACCGACCTTACGAAGACCCCTTGAAGACAAGAACGAAGTAGGACCTTGAAATACCTCGGCCTTCCAAGAGCACACACTTGTCGCGCTTAAAGTGTCCTTTGTTCCGTTCATCTCAGCATTAAGAAGTTGGTATTACCAACAATCTTGACTCCTTCAAGTTCTTTTTTTTTTTTTTACAAGTGCTTATACAGTTGGGCACTCTTGGGACGAATAATTCTTAAGAAAACAGTAAGGACCTGAGCACTCCATTGTGGTTATATACGGGTCATTTAAAGATACGCAAAAGAGACAAATACCTTTAACTATCTTGCGTGGGTTATACTAATATGTTAATGTCACTTTATTTTAAGTAAACGTTTATCTACTACCACTATAGTTATGTTCTTGAATAAATGGCATGCAGGTTTGTTACATATGAACAACACATGTTTTTTTGTTATACGGGACTATTTATTGTTTTGTCTAGTTCTATTCATACAGTATAGACGCTTCGCACACGCACCAGATTATAGCCGTCATTGTTAACCTTCTCTTGTCTTACCAATATACCAAAGCACTAAAGCGGGCTCTCCACAAGGGTCAGTGCTGGGAAAAGGACACAGTCGAATCTTAAATGAAGAGAACCTGTGCTGCTGTGATAAGGTTGGAGCGAAGTGATCAAACCAGAGCGGGCAGAGCCAGGGTATGCACCAGACGCAGATATAAGGCTTGGCATTCTCTCTTGGCTAGCCAGAAGCCGAAAAGAATCCCCTAGCGGTGGAAGCGAGAAACAGTTCCAATAAGAGAGTAATGGTTAAATGTAGTAACTCTTCATGGTTTAAAATACGTTATGTTTTGATTATGGTCATGCAAAAAGACGTAAGAAACAAATGTGCCGCTCAAACTCTGATTTGCTCGGACAGAGTGTGACCGCTCGCGGACGGCATATTCCAGGCCTTCGGCGCCTGCCGTACTGGTTATGTCGATCGTTGCGCTAGTCGCACTCTTCCACCACGATTTTGGATGAGCGTGATTGGAACATCACGTGCACCAGATTTTTAGTCACCGAGAGTTACTCCGATGCACTTATTAATTTCGTTTCTCGCGACCACCACCAGGGTATTATTTCCGGCCACAGGTTGGCCCAATTCGAACTTGTGAAGACGGCCTGCGACACGCCCAGCTCGCTTTCGGCCAATGGCGCCTTCTTATTTGCCTCCTATACTTCCCAATGAATGACCGAACTCTCTCTATATACGGCTCTGGATCAAACTACGAGAAAAAAAAAACTGAAGGTCGGTTATGGCGGCGCCCATGCACAGCTGCTGCAAAGCGTCTATTAGCCAGAGACAGACAGGTATAGTCATTCGTTCATACTCCGCTTCCCCTCAAGCTGAGACTGCAGCCAAAGCTACAAGCGCGAGCTAAACCGTGCTCCCAGCTTTGAGATGTGCATTTCTAGCGCGAGCGCTCGCTTTGTGAAAGAACCTTTCAAAGCAGCGACTTCGTGCTCTCGGGATTGTGACTGCAGATGCTGTCTCAGTTTAAGGGGGAACGGAGTATAAAAAAAGCAGAACCTAACAAAAGAACCCTAGCAAACCTTAGTTTCGGTGCTAACTCACGATTAGTGTAAGTACTCGTAGCTTTACCGCCGTTTGTTTGTTGTCATTGAATTGTTGGAACTGAGATGTCGTCACAGAACTTAAAAACTGCGGAGTTCGTGGATCTGTGAAGGTTGTAAGGGCTCAATAGCGAACCGCGAACCTCAATTACATGCAGAACAAGATATGTGGAAACGCTTTTATAAAACTTGTATCGAATAGCTAATGAATCGATGCTAAAATATACAAACGAAGATGTTTCGCGAAATACTGATAAGCCAAAATTCGTAAAAACACAAAAAGAAAACCACAAAAACGTACATTTGTGTTATACAAAATTTTAAAAACGACGCATTTTAAGTTTCGTGGAATCTGACCAGATAACGCATTAATATTCCTGCTTGCTAACGCTAAAATCCGTTTAGCTTAAGAATCGATTAACCTTCAGGGGCGATGTTAGCGCTTTAAGGTCAACGCGCATCGTCGTATTTCACGCGCGTAGGAGCACTTATACTCTGCACACGTCGTCGAATTCAACAAATTCCCGTGTATTTACAAAAACAAAAAATAAAAAAAATCTTCAAGGAAAAACAAAAATTTCTGTCTGAAGATGGGAATACGCGAGGGTCAATACACGACCAAGAGGGAAGTTGAAGCCGGCAAAACACCGCGCAGCAAAGGAAACATCCGAGATGTAAAGGTAGCCGTTGACACTGGCGGCACAGAGACCTCGAAGATCAGGCAGGCCAAGGCGACCGGAGACGCAAGGCCCGTGTTACGGCCGGCTCAAGAGCGCCTTGGCCCGTGCCGTTCTTCCGGGTAAGTAAGCATACAACGTCGCCCATTGTCTCTCCGCGCGTGGGAGTTTTGTATACCTCGCTCGGTGAAAACGCTTAAAAGGAAGCTTATCGGCAAAGAAAAAAAAAACATACAGACAAAGCCACTAGCGCGAGAATTCAAGAACAGCTGTTTTTCCCGCCCCATCGGGGGAAAGAAGAGCCATCATATTTCATACCCCCCTTGGTTCTTTTTTTTTTTTCGTTAATAAGATGGAGACAGACATTTATGCATTTAATTTAAGCCAACATGTTCTTTCTATCTTTTCTGTGAAAGAATGGCAGAGAGAGGGGAGATAAGGCAAGCCCGGCATACTTCCGATTCACGCATATTTCCTAATTTTTTACTCTTAATTCCCTTATCATAAGAGTGAATATAGTCTGACAGTGCTAAAAGTGGTCATTTCCAGAAGAGAACGTGTATACTGTAAACGACGTAATTTTCGCAAATTCTGCGATTCGCCAAGGAGTCACGAAAAATAGGTCCCGCGAACAATTCCGGTAAAATGTAAACAGATTGGAATCTATATTTAGATCCCACCGCGCCGCGAAAATTTGAACCCGCGAGTTATTCCAGAACTTCAGCTTTGACCTAAATCGCGAAATATTGAGACTGCGAAAAAAAAGTCGTTTGCAGTATTCGATTTCGCAAATACTACGAAATCCGTCGTCTAGTTCAGAACCGGGAGTGGTTGGGGGCTACTTTACATTTGCGCCACCACGTTTCAACCTACGCGAGAAAGAGCGAATATACAGGGTATTTCAGAGAACGCAGGCCAAATCGCTCCTGCGAAAAATACTCGTCGCAACGAAAAAAGGCTTGTGGCGTTTTGGTCCTGGGCCAGGGGCCCATTTAAGAAAATTATTAAAGTCCGGGATAATTAGGTTGTTCATTATTTTTGCGTAATTAACTTTTTTAATATTGTGTTTAAGGGCATGGTTTAAATTAGAATTTGCTCAGCATCATCGAAAACCACAAAATCAACAAATCGTAGAACGACAGAAGGCACGCGAAGCATTTTACGGCTTTCCGAAAAACCGCACAAATTCGACGGGTTTTTAAAGGAGCTGTGCAACGATATTCAATTGGAATGTTTTTCTCTCTACACGAGCTTACTGGCACACCTGGGACTCAAGGATACTCACACGCAACGCCATTGGCCAAGAAACACCTTTGTTGCGGTGTAATTTCAAGGACAAAAGCGATCATTTTCATTCAATCTCTCCTTTGCAAAATTTGATGACGTAACTCGGGGGTCGTAGTACACCCAAGTGACGATATTTGAATGCGGTTCATAGATTGGACCCGAGCACTGCGTGGGCACTCGACTTGGGCTCGTGACAATTGCTAGCTCGAGAAGCATTCGGGTTGTGACCCGTGTCCAATCGCTGCAACGACGACAACAGCCGAGCCATAACAATATCTGGAACTCAGCGCGTGCATTGTGCTTTGCCAACCCCAGCGCGTGGCTATGATCAACACTGGCGGCATATAATCGGCTCCAGATCACGTGGCCGCTTGCTCTGGCTGCGAGTTGAGGGGGTGAACGCTAATCGTTTTTCTTTAATTTTTTTTCTGGGACTACTATTGCGTGGGGTGAAAAACGAACGCGTGTTTCATAGGTCATTAACGTTAGGGATCCGTTTCAAGCAGTATTTGCGCAAAGTACAAAAATTGTTGCATAGCTCCTTTAAGTTTCGGTTTGCTATCGGAGCGCATCTCGGCCCCGACGGCACCGAGCCTCATGGAGGGATAGTGCAACCAACCTCTGCTGCGCTGTCATCCCGCTGTTTAAAGGGGTGATGCAACGATTTTTGTACTTTGCGCAAATGCCGCTTAGAACGGATCCCTGACGTTAATGACCTGTGAAATACCCGTTAGTTTTTCACCACACGCAATCGAAGTCGCAGAAAAAAATAAAGAAAAACGAGCAGAGTTCGCCCCCTCAACTCGCAGCCAGAATAAGCCGCCCCGTGATCTGGGGGGCTAAGCTCGGCGCGGCGAGATCGAGGCGAGTTCTCCGCCAAACTCGCCGACCGCCGCGATTGGTCGGCGCCGTGCATGACGACACGCGCCGACACTCCCTAGATCGTGACGTTAAACGGAGGGTTTGAGGCGGTCGGAGAGTTGCATATTCGGAACTCGCGGCGAGATGCGGTGACGTCATTGTGACGTGGCAGAAGCCGCCGCGGATGGGAAAAGCTTGCCGGCTCCGACCTAGGCGAGTTTGGGCGAGTTGGGCGCGAGATCAGGGAGAAGCGTCCAAAATGGCAGCGTTTTCGTTCGTGTTTTGCCGTCGGCATAGGTATTCAAACCACGCCAATGTGTTTGACATGGACGACGTTCATTTTCAACAACACTATTGCCTCTCGAAAGACGTGGTAAGGTGGCTGTGCGATGAACTGCGTGGCGAACCGGGCTTGAGGCGATGGAGCCGTGAATGGACCGTCGTCCCCGTCGTGAATCCTACAGCCAAATTCTACAAAGCGAATCCTAGAAACAAATGTGTTTTTACGGCAATCTGCAACCGGGAACGCAATTTACCATTACCTACAGGCTTTTACAATTATTTTGATGGGTTGCTGTGCTGCGGAGATGCAAGATAAACGCACTTGATCAAATTC